CGTTATGTTCTTCCTACTCCTTTTAGTGTCAGTAGCAGTATTTATGATACTTACAGACTAGGAGTGTATCAACCTGAAGATGATTCAAGTGTTGTTAGACTTTACAATGCAACCACTAGCAGCACAGAAAGAGTTGGAAGAGTAAGAGCAGACTCCATTGATGATCAATATATCAAAATAACTGGTTCAAATATAGAAATTGATCGAGCATATACAAATAATGTTTTCATGGTACATTTGATAACAAGTACGTAGCATTATCAAAAAATAAATTCATTAAGTATTAATTTAATTTTTATTATCTAGATCCTCCAAATTGTTTTCAAAATCTTTTCACGGAAGCTGAAATTAATACAAGCAGTCTATCAGTTACTAATGTAATACCAGTCAATGATACAAGAGCTTTTCCTGATATACAGTTCACATGTAATGGTATTATTACTAACTGGATAATTGGTATTACACAGAATCAGGATACAAGCAAACATTATCCTAACATTTATTTAAAACGTTCTTCTGAACTGATTCATGCACTAACTGTTGATGCTTCTGCTGCTACATCAAGTAATGGTAATGTATATAACTTTACAAGTGATATTGAAGTAGAGTATGGAGATATATTAGTAATCAATGTAACCACTAATAGTAATCCAATGTATTATCAACAATACAATGGACCATTGAATTATGAGCTTGATAGCAGTAATGGATTAATACCATTGGAACATAATGACTATCCACTGATATCAGTCATAACAAGTGAGTTTCTTTAAATATATTTAGTAATTATTTTAATGTCTTTTTTATAGAACCAATTCCTTCAGTTACTGAATTCTCATCTACTATAATAACAATGTTGCCTGACCACTCTACCAGTTTACATTACACTACCTTATTAAGCACTACCAATACCTTATTAAGCACTACCAATACCTTATTAAGCAGTGCTATCACTACTACCTCACTGACCAGCAGTAGCAATATTCCTTACACTACCAGCTACACTACTGCTGCTTCCTTATCAAGCACTACCAATACCTTGTCAAGCAGTGCTATCACTGCTACCTCACTGACCAGCAGTAGCAACATTCCTTACTCTACCAGTGTTGCTTCCTTATGGACAAGCTCTATCAATACCTTGTCAAAGAGTGTTATAACTACTCCCTCGTTGACCAGTGTAGTGACTGGAACACACATTCCTACAACCAGCAGTAAATTTTTATCATTGGGTGCAACAACCACCTCTCCACCATCATCTATTACTGACTCATCTGTCACTAGAACTACTGAGCCAACAGCACCTAGCAATACAGGAGATGGTAACTCAGCTTTGATAATAGCTGCTGTTGTTGCTACAGTATTAGTATTACTGATAGTTAGTGTTATGGTGATATTAATATTGATAACAATAGCATGTAAAAGAAGAAGTAAAGCAACGTTGACTTTTAGAGGTCGCCGTGCCTTACTTGTTAATTCTGTTTATTCTGATGTCACACCAAATGGTAGAGATCTGAGAAATATGAGCAATCCAAATTACCAAGGTAGTTTTATTATTATTATTTATTATGTATATTACTGGTTTGCCTATTACCAGTCCTGTATGAAGAGCCAATGCCAGTAATGGATGGAATAGAAGCAGTTTATAGTGACACAAGTCCAATGACTAATGTTGGTAATCCAATGTATGGACAAAAATGTAACACTATATGTTTTAATGCATCAAGTAATAATAATAATAATAATTTAGGTACTGTGCCATCAGGATATGAAGAACCAGTAAATGTCATTATGAAACAGAAAGTAATCTTATTGTAACCATGCATGCACTTATCAACTAACGCAAACATCAATGAACAATCATGGACACGTTATATATGAATCACATTCAGTGTATGTTTTTTTACTTTGTTTCCTAACAGAATGCATCAGTTTTTAATGAACTGTATGGACTGTTGGAAGAAGCAGCACTATATGTACCCAATGCAGTATGTACTGAAACATCTTTTAATAATCATTATGTGATAATTAAAACTATTAATAGAGTGAACGTTCTGGAGGGCAAAGTGAAGAAATTTACTCCACACTAATAAATGAACAGGTATAAGCCCAGGCTATACAAGTCATATACTGTACAGTACTTATGTCACATTTACTACCTGTAGAATTTTGCAAAATGTTTAGTTAAACCAGCCCAAAAGTGGCTAACGTAGTTTCACTAAACAGTAGATATTTAAAAGAAAAGTAATCCTCTAAACTATGTGGTTTTTGACATATAAATTTTGAAGGAATTTACATTCACAAAAAAGAATGATTATCATTTATGAAATTTACTGACCATGTAATATTACTTGTATGGTAATTAACTTATGCTATTCATTGATGTAGTATTCCTCATCTGCAAATTCAAGACTTGATCATACTGGTGGTAATGCATTCTTTATAGAAGATACTGAGTACTGGGAACCTGATAGTAATACTGATGGTATATACCAACAATTATCTGATAGGAAATACAGAGAAATTATAAGACACCAAATAAAGTAAGAGAGAGAGAGAGAGAGAGGGAGAGAGAGAGAGAGAGAGTACAGCAACATTTGTGGTTACTTTGATCTTGTAAGCTAATGTATGCCTGTGACAGTAACATGAAGACATAATGTCAACAATAACATGTATGGCTTCATGAATATGTACACATTCTCACTCCAATAGAGTAACAGATTATTTAGGATCAGGACAGTTTGGTACAGTTAATAAAGGAGTATGGACTACACCTACTGCTGGATCAGTGTCTGTTGCTATTAAAACACTTAATGATAATACTTCAGAGGATGAGAGAGTAAAGTTTCTACAAGAGGCAGCCATTATGGGTCAGTTTCATCATCCTAATGTTGTTAAACTACATGGAGTGGTCACCATTGGACATCCTGTGAGTCTGTAGTATTACTAATGATTGTACTCTTTAATAATTATTAAATGTTGTACATAGATAATGATAGTACTGGAATTGATATCTGGAGGTGATTTGAAAGAGTATCTTAACAAATTTAAACCATCGTAAGTTTATATTAAGTGTATCATTAATACTTCTCTCTCTCTCTCTCTTCTCTTAGTCCTGGGGAGTTAGTATTATCATCAGTTCCTTCTATTTTGCTCTCATTTTGTCGTCAAATTGCTTCAGGAATGGAGTACTTGTCAAGGAAGAAGTTTGTTCACAGAGATCTTGCAGCAAGAAATATATTAGTATCAGCTGA